AGGCCATGGGGGTGACCCCCCAGATCCATGTGGGGATGGAGGTGTCACCCCCACCCCAAAAAATCCCACATGGATACGGGGCCGGGGTTGTTGTCACCCCCAAACCCCTCAGGCCATGGGGGTGACCCCAAAGTTGATTTGGGGACAGGGTTGTTGTCACCCCCGAAGCCCCACATGGATACGGGGTCGGGGTTGTTGTCACCCCCAAAACCCCACATGGATACGGGGTCGGGGTTGTCACCTCCCGAACCCCCAAATTCTGATGGGGTCGGGGTTGTTGTCACCCCCAAACCCCACAGGCCGTGGGGGTGACCCCAAAATTTCCACAGGAACGGCGGCGTCACCCCCTCAGAGCCCCCCACTGAAATGGGGCTGGGGGTGTCACCCCCAAAAGCCAAAAACCCAGGACAGGTCATGGGGGTGACACCCGAATTTCCATGGGAACGGGGTTGTCACCCCAAAAACCCCAATTCCCAATGGTGATGGGGCTGGGGTTGTCACCCCCAAACCCCAAAATTCCAGTGGGGACGGGGCTGTTGTCACCCCCCCAGGTCCCCCACAGACTGTTGGGGTCACCCTGAAATCGGGGTGACACCAAAGGGTGGTGGTGGTGGTGGTGAAATTTGGGGTCACCCCTGAAGTTGGAGGCACCCTCAAGTTTATGGGGGGAAGCCCTGAATTGAATTTTTGGGGAACCCCCCAAAGTTCAGAGGGGGCAACCCCAAAACTGGGGGGGGGGGGGGGGGGAAATCCCTAAATTGGGGGTGAAACCGGAAAATTGAGGAGTTCATCCCTAAATTGGGGGTGAAACCCTGAAATTGGGGGTGAAACCCTTAAATTGGGGGGTTGATCCCCAAACCTTGAATTTGGGGTGACCCCCAAGTCGAGGGTGACCCCCCCCCAGTTTAGAGGTCACGCCCCCCCCTGTTGGGGGTGGGGGAGGGGCAGGCGTGGGAGCCCCCCCCCGATTTTGGGGGGTCTGGTGGGGGGGGGAGGGGTTGTAATTTATGGGGTTCGTTAATGAGGAGGGGAGGGGGGGTGGGGGAGGGGGGGCTCGTTGGTGGCGGTTTTGGGGGTTCAGGGGGGAGGGGGCGTCCTTTGCCCCTCCCCCACCCCCTTTATTTTGCTGTTTTCACTTTTGGGGTTGTTGGGTGTTGGGGGGGGGGGGGGAAGGAATTTTGGGGAATTTCTGATTTTGGGGGGAAGTTAATAAAAGTTTTACTGATTTTCATCTGCGACTGTTTTGGGGGGGAAGGGGGACACCCCAAAACTCCTCATTTGGGGATACCTTGGGCACACCTGGACACCTGTGGGTGGCCCTGAGGAACTTGAGGGGGATGTGGAGGAACATCAAGGTGGGACGGCTGGGTCATGGAGGAACATCATGGTGGCCATGATTGAGTCATGGTGGCCACGGTTAGGTCATGGTGGTCATGGTTGAGTCATGGTGATGATGGTTGGGTCATGGCGGCCATGGTTGGGTGGTGGTGGCCATGGTTGGGTCATGGCGGCCATGGTTGAGTCATGGTGATGATGGTTGGGTCATGGCGGCCATGGTTGAGTGGTGGTGGTCATGGTTGGGTGGTGGTGGTCGTGGTTGGGTGGTGGTGGTTGTGGTTGGGTTGTGGTGGCCATTATCGGGTCATGGTGGCCATGGCTGGCTCATGGTGGTCATGGTTGGGTGGTGGCAGCCATGGTTGAGTTATGGTGACCATGATTGAGTCATGGTGGTCATGGTTGGGTCATGGTGGCCACGGTTGGGTCATGGTGGCCATGGTTGGGTGGTGGTGGCCATGATTGGGTCATGGTGGCCATGGTTGGGTGGTGGTGGCCATGGTTGAGTCACGGTGGCCAAGATTGGGTCATGGTCACCATGGTTGGGTCCTGGCGGCCATGGTTGAGTGGTGGTGGCCATGATTGAGTCATGGTGGCCATGGTTGGGTGGTGGTGGCCATGGTTGAGTGGTGGTGGCCGTTATCGGGTCATGGTGGCCATGGTTGGGTGGTGGTGGCCATGGTTGGGTTGTGGCAGCTATGGTTGAGTGGTGGTGGCCATGGTTGGGTCATGGTGGCCATGGCTGGGTGCTGGTGGCCAAGATTGGGTCATGGTCACCATGGTTGGGTCCTGGCGGCCATGGTTGAGTGGTGGTGGCCATGATTGAGTCATGGTGGCCATGGTTGAGTGGTGGTGGCCGTTATCGGGTCATGGTGGCCATGGTTGGGTTATGGCAGCTATGGTTGAGTGGTGGTGGCCATGGCTGGGTGCTGGTGGCCAAGATTGGGTCATGGTCACCATGGTTGGGTCACGGTGGCCATGGTTGAGTCATGGTGGCCAAGGTTGGGTCATGGTCACCATGGTGGGGTCATGGCGGCCACAGGTCACCCCTTGGTTGCTCCCCACCAACTCCAGGACCCTCTTTTGGGACCCCCCCAAACCCTCAGGTGCCATTTTGGGGTGTCCTGTGTCCCTCTGACTCCCTGGGTCACATTTTGGGGTCCCCCAGACCCCCCCAAACCCTCAGGTGACATTTTGGGGTGTCCCAGGTCCCTCTGGACCCTTTTGGGGTCGTTTTTGGGGTCCCCAAATCGCGAGCGTCCCTTTTTGGCGGGAAAAGCCGAAACCCCGCCCACAGAAGGAGGAGCCAATCCAAACCGCGCCTCATTCCATATATGGAGCTGGAGGCGTGGCCTAAAGAGCGGGCCGCCGAGGGGCGTGGCCAGCGAGGGGCGTGGCCTCTCGCTGTCATGGCGGCGCCCATGGTGGACGGTGCGCGTTGAGGGGGGGGGGGCGGGAGAATTTGGGGGTTTTTTTGGGGGATTTTTGGGGGGATTTTGGGTTTTCTGAGGGGAAGTTGGGGATGGGGAGGGGTTCTGACCTCTCCCCTCCCCCCGCAGCCTCTCAGGGGGTCCCCGAACCCCCCGGGACCCCTCAGGACGCGGCCCCGCCGGAGCCCGAGGAGGAGGAGCTCGAGTGAGTTTGGGGGGGATTTTTTGGGGGTCCCTGAGGGGTTTTGGGGGTCCCTGACCCCCCCTGACTCCCCCCCAATTCCGGCTCTTCCCAGTTTCCCCCCAGTACGAACTGGGCCGCCCCCCCCGCCCGGTTTGGGGGGCGCGGGAGGAATTCGCGAAGCGCCCCGAGAATTACCTGCGAGGCTGCAAATGGTGAGAGACCCCAAAATCCCCCCCAAAAATCACCCGGAAACCTCCCCAAATCACCTCAAAAATCAGCCCAGCAGTCACCCCGAACCCTCCGCCGAAAATCACCCCTAAAATCAACCCCCAAAACCCCCCCGAAAGGCCCCAAACCTCGCCCAAAAATCACCCCAATACCCCCACAAAAACCTCCCTAAACCACCCCAAAATTCACCCCAAAAACCTCCCTAAATCACCCCAAAAATCACCCCAAAAATCACCCCAAAAACCCTCCAAAATCACCTCAGAACCTCCCTAAAAATCACCGCAAACCCCCGCCAAAAATCACCCCAAAAACTCCCCAAAAACATCCCTAAATCACCCCAAAACTTCCCCCAAAAATCACCCCAAAAGCCCCGCGGGAGGGTTGGGGTCCCCTGAGGGGTTGAAATGGGGGGGGGTCCCCAACACCTGGGTTTGTTTTGGGGTTCATTGGGGGATCCCCAATACCTGAGGGGGTCATTTTGGGGTCCATGGGGTGACAATGGGGGGGTCCCCACACCCGGGGCTATTTTGGGGTGACATTTGGGGGTCCCCACACCCGGGGCTATTTTGGGGTGACATTTAGGGGTCCCCAACCCCTGGGGGCTATTTTGGGGTGACATTTGGGGGTCCCCCACACCCGGAGCTATTTTGGGGTGACATTTGGGGGTCCCCACACCCGGGGCTATTTTGGGGTGACAATGGGGGGGTCCCCTCAATACCCGGGGCTATTTTGGGGGTGACAATGGGGGGGGTCCCCCACTCCCGGGGCTATTTTGGGGTGATGACATTTGGGGGGTCCCCCCAGGGCCCCCGACGGCTCCTGCGTCCTCACCTGCAGCAACGACAACGCCCTGAGGATCTTCGACCTCCCCCTCCCCCCGGGACCCCCCCCGGGGGCGCCCCTCCCCAGCTGGTGGGTGGGGAGGGGCTGGGGGGATTTGGGGGGGGGTGGGTGTGGGGTCACTTTGGGGGGTTTGGGGTAATTTTGGGGTCTGGGGTCACTGAGGAGAGTTTGGGGTCAGTTTGGGTGGGGTTTGGGGTCACTTTGGGGGGGTTTGGGGGAGATTTGTGTGGTCTAGGGGTCACTGAGGAGAGTTTTGGGTCACTTTGGGGGGGTTTGGGGTAATTTTGGGGGCTTTGGGGTCACTCTGGGGGTCCTGGGGGGGATTTGGGGGCTCTGGGGGTCACTGAGGAGAGTTTGGGGTCACTTTGGGGGGGTTTGGGGTCACTTTGGGGGTCCTGGGGGGGATTTTGGGGGTCTGGGGGGGCACTGGGGGGTCATTGTGGATCTCCAGGGGTCACTCATTGGTCACTCGTGGTCACTCAGTGGTCACTCAGTGGTCACTGGGGTCACTCCTGGTCACTCATTGGTCACTGGGGTCACTCATTGGTCCACTCCTGGTCACTCATTGGTCACTCTGGTCACTCATTGGTCACTCATTGGTCACTCCTGGTCACTCTGTCACTCTGGTCACTCATTGGTCACTCATGGTCACTCGTTGTCACTCATGGTCACTCATTGGTCACTCTGGTCACTCATGGTCGCTCATTGGTCACTGCTGGTCACTCATTGGTCACTGGTGGCAGCTCCCGGCCGTGGAGGTGGCCGAAGGTGACACCATCTACGACTTCACCTGGTACCCCCTGATGGACTCCAGCGACCCCCCCAGCTGCCTGTGAGAGACTGGGATATACTGGGATATACTGGGAATAGACTGGGATGGAACTGGGATCTACTGGGAATGGACTGGGATGGAACTGGGATATACTGGAATGGACTGGGAGCACTGGGAGGGAACTGGGAAGGCGCTGGTTGTTACTGGGATGAACTGGGGGTGGTGTACTGGGAGCAGGGGCGGCTCCTGGGAGGTCGTTACTGGTCCAGACTGGTCCGTACTGGTTTGTACTGGTCTGTGCTGGTTTATACCACTCCATACTGGTCCATACTGGTCTATACCAGTTTATACTGGTCCATACTGGTCCGTACTGGTTTATACTGGTCCATACTGGTTTATACTGGTCTGTACAAGCGATTGTGCCGGTCCATACTGGTTTATACTGTTTTATACTGGTCCATACTGGTCCATGCTGGTCCATACTGGTTTATACTGGTCTGTACTGGGCAGAGTGGCCGCCAGCAGCCGGGACAGCCCCGTGCACCTCTGGGACGCCTTCGATGGGAGCCTGAGGGGCTCATTCCGTGCCCACAACCACCTGGTGGGCACTGGGATCAACTGGGAGGGACTGGGAGGGGACTGGGATAAACTGGGAGGGACTGGGATCAAACTGGGAGGACTGGGAGGGGACTGGGGGGGACTGGGATCAAACTGGGAGGGACTGAGGGGGACCGGGAGGGACTGGGATAAACTGGGAGGGACTGGAAGGGAACTGGGTTTGGGGACCCCTGGGATGTCCCTGGGTGGATTTTGGGTCCTGGAGAAGCTTTTGGGGACCCCTGACCCTTTTAATGGGAGGAGTTTTGGGGTTTGGGGGACCCCCCCAGAGCTTTCCCAGGTCGGTTTTGGGGTCTCCCCATTCCCTGTAGGGTTTTTGGGATCCCCCATCTCTCCTGGGTGGGTTTTGGGGTCTCCCCATTCCCTGTAGGGTTTTTGGGTCCCCCCCACCTGTCCCAGGTGGGTTTTTGGGGTCTCCCATCTCTCCCAGGAGGGTTTTGGGGTTTCCCCATTTCCTGTAGGGTTTTGGGTCCCCCCATCTGTCCCGGGTGGGTTTTGGGGTCTCCCCATTCCCTGTAGGGTTTTGGGTCTCCCATTCCCTGTATGGTTTTTGGGGTCCCCCCCATCGCGGGTGGTTCTGGGGCGCCCTCAGGGACCCCGCGGTGTCCCCAGGACGAGCCCGTGGCCCCGCACTCCTTGGCCTTCGCCCCCGATGGCTCCCGGCTCCTGGGCGGCTTCGACGGCGCCGTCCGAGAGTTCCCGACCGAGCGCCCGGGCGGGGCGGCCTCCAGAGGAGCCTGAGCCGTGAGGGGCGGGGCTTAAAGGGGGCGGGGCTTAAAAGGGGGCGGGGATTAATGGGGTGGGGTCTGGGCATGGGGTAAGGGGAGGTTCCCAGGCTGTATTTGGGATTAAAATGGGGAAGTCAGGTGTGGTCAAAATGGGCGTGGCTTAAAGGAAAAGGGGCGTGGCATAAAGGGGTGGGGTCAATGGGAGGGGTTGGGGTAGGGCAGGGGGCAGTTCCCGCCCTTTGTTTGGGGCTAAAATGGGGAAGTCAGGGGTTAAAAGGGGTGGAGTCAAACAGGGCGTGGCCTAAAGGAAAGGGGCGTGGCCTTAAAGGGTGGGGTCTGGGAGTGGGTGGGGCCCTGGGCTGGGGCTTAACAGGAGTGTCCGGCAAAATGTAAATGAGTGGAACATAAGGGGCGTGGCTTTGATGGGCATGGTCCCCGGGAGGGCAGGATTTGGGTGGGTGGCGTCTAAGGGGGTGTGGCCTCACTGAAGGGGGCGTGGCCTAACCTTTGTCTCCACCCCCCTCCCAGAGGGCGGGCATGGCCAGCGAGGCCTGATTGGCTGCCTGGCCTTCAGCCCCAGCCAATCCCTCTTCGCCTGTGGCTCCTATGGGCGGAGCCTGGGGCTGTACCCGCTGGAAGGGGGCGGGGCCGTGGCGCTCTGGCCCCGCCTCCCGGCCGCGCCCACTCACCTGCGCTTCAGCCCCTGCGGGACTCACCTGTACGCCGGCGGGAGGAAGGTGGGCGTGGCCAATTGTGGGCGTGGCATTGAGGTGGGGCATGGGGTGGGTGGGGCCTGTGGGTTGTTATGAGGGTGTGGCCTCGTGGTGGGCGGGCTTTGTTAATGCGGGTGTGGCCTCAGTGCTGGGGGTGAGGCCTCTGGGCGCGTTTTTAGGGGCGTGGTTTAGGCTCTGATTGACATCTCCCAGTGTAGTGGGTGGAGCTTTGTGGGCGTGGTTTATAGGCCAGGAGGTGGATTGATCATCTGGGGGCGTGACTACAGTCCTGATGGGCGTGTCCCGGCCTGGCCCCGCCCCCAGGACCGCCACATCCTCTGCTGGGACCTTCGTGTCCCCGAGCGTCCCCTCCTGGCGCTGCCGCGGCACGTGGCCACCAACCAGCGCGTGACCTTTGACCTCGACCCGTGAGTGACCCCCCCCGAAAAATGGGGCACCCCTGGGGACACCTGGGCACCCTTGGGGACACCTGGGACACCTTTTGGGGACACCTGGGGCACCTTTTGGGGACACCTGGGGCACCTTTTGGGGACATCAGGGACACCTGGGGCACCTTTGGGGGGATTTTTTGGTGGCTCTTGGACATCTGGGACACTTTTTGAGGGGATTTTGGGGGGTCCAGAACCCCTGGGTCAAATTTTCGGGGGTCCTGACACCTGGATCAGATTTTGGGGGGTCTGAACATCTGGGTCACCTTTAGGGTGGGGGTCTCTGGGGGTTTTTAGGGCGGGGGGTCTCAGGGGGTTTTAAGGGTGGGGTCTCAGGGGCTTTTTAGGGCGGGGGTCTCTGGGGGTTTTAGGGCGGGGGTTATTAAGGGTGGGGGTCTCTGGGGTTTTTAGGGTGGGGGTCTCAGGGGTTTTTAGGGTCAGGGTCTCTGGGGGTTTTAGGGCGGGGGTTATTAAGGGTGGGGGTCTCTCATTGTCCCCGGTGCCCCCAGGTCGGGGCGGTTCCTGGTCGGGGGTGACACCGATGGCTTTGTCACCGTCTGGGACACGCTGGCCCCGCCCAGCCCGGGGGACCCCCCGAGCTGCCCCCCTGCTCCGCTTCCGCGCCCTCCGCGACTGCGTCAACGGCACCAGGTAACCCCAAAAACGGGGATTCCCCCAAAAAAACCACACCTGGGGATTCCCCTCAAAAAAACAACACCTGGGGATTCCCCCCCAAAAAAACCACCACCTGGGGATTCCCCCATAAAAACATGGGGGACCCCTCCCCAAAAATCGTTGGGACCCACCCTAATAAAATTTGGGGATCCCTCCAAAAAGTACCTTGGGTCACCCCCCAAACGCCCAATTACCGTCCCAAATCCCCCAAAATTTCCGCCCCCAAATCCCCCAAAATTTCCACCCAAACTCCCCCAATTCCTACCCCAAACTTCCACCCCAAGTCCCCCCAATTTCCACCCCAAGTCCCCCAAAATTTCCACCCCCGAATTCCCCAAATTTCCACCTCAAAAACCCCCCCCCCATATTCCACCCCAAATCCCCCAAATTTCCTCCTCAAACTCCCACAAATTTCCACCCAAATTCCCAAATTTTCACCCAAATCCCCAAATTTTCAAGTCAAATTCCCCCAAATTTCCACGTCAAACCCCCCCAATTTCTACCCCCAACTTCCACCCCAAGTCCCCCAATTCCCACCCCAAACTCCCCCAATTTTCACACCAAACTCCCCCAAATTTCCACCCCAAATCCCCAAATTTCCTCCTCATCTCCCCCAAATTCCCACCCTAAACCTCCCCAAGTTTCCACACCAAATTTTTACCCCAAACTCCCCCAAATTTCCACCCCAAATCTCCCCAAACTCCCCCAAATTTCCACCCCAAATCTCCCCAAGTTTCCACCCTAAGTCCCCCAAATTTTCACCCCAAACTCCCCCCAAAATCCCCCAAATTTTCACCCCAAACTCCCCCAAATCCCCCCAATTTCCACCCCAAACCCCCCAAATTCCACCCGAATCCCCCAAATTTCCCCGTTTTCCCCATTCCCAGCCTGCACCCCGCGCTGCCGCTCCTGCCACGGCCTCGGGCCGCCTGTTCCCGGCGCCGTGGGACAGCGACGGTGACAGCGAGGGGACACAGGAGGGGCCGGCCCCGGGAGGGGACATCCGGCTGCAGCTCTGGTGGTGGGGACACGAGGACACCCCTGGGGACACCCCTGGGGACAGCGGGACAGGCCATTGTCACCTGCCTGGGGACACCGAGTGCCACACCCCTGGGAACCCTGGGATTGGAGATTGTCACCTCCCCAGGGACACCAATTGCCACACCCCTGGGGACAGCGGGACCGGCCATTGTCACCTCAGTGGGGACACCGAGGTGTCACATTCCTGGGGACACTGGGACTGGAGATTGTCACCTCTCTGGGGACACCGATTGTCACCTCCCTGGGGACACCGGGACTGGCCATTGCCACTTCCCTGAGGACATTGGGACTGGAGATTGTCACCCTCCCGGGGGACACTGAGTGTTGCCTCCATGGGGACACCCAATTGTCACCTCTCTGGGGACATCTGGACTGATGATTGTCACATCCCTGAGGACATTGGGACTGGCCATTGTCACGTCCCTGAGGACATTGGGACTGGCCATTGTCACTCCCCGGGGGACACTGAGTGTCACCTCCCTGGGGACAGTGACTGTCACCTTTGAGGACCAGAACTGTCACCCCTGGGGACCCTGGAGGGTCACAGCCCCCTTGGGGACCCCGAATGTCACCCCTGGGGACCCCAGATGTCCCCCCAGGCCTCGGTTGTACTAAAGCCGTTGTGACTGTCGCCCTCTGTCACCCCTGTGGGCTGTCACAGGTGGGGGCGTGGCCAGACCTGCCCCGCCCCCACACCCCACACCCCCCCCTGGGTGCCCCAAAATCGTCCCCAGCCCCTCGGGGTCCCCACCCTGCAATTCCGGCGTTGCCCCTTTAAGAGCCCCCCCACACACAAACAAAGGGGCGGGGCCTGTTCCTAAGCAGCTTTATCATCACCATGGCAACGGTGGGGGTTGTGATGTCGCCATGGAAATCTGTGTGGCGCTGCTCGCCACGCCCCTGCCCCGAGGCCACGCCCATCCACGTGGCCACACCCACACCGTGGTCAGATCTGTGGGTGTGGCCACGTTAACTTTTGGTCACGCCCCTTCAAAAAGACCACGCCCCATTTTAAGTGCCCATCCATGCTAATTGCGCTAAGCCACGCCCCCAAATACACACCCGACCCCAATCCACGCCTTTTAAATATTCAAACCACGCCCACCTTTTCATGCCCCCGCCCCATATCTCCCAAACAACGAGCACGCCCATCCGTGACCACGCCCCCTTTATCAACCCCACCCACCCCCTTCACTACGCAGCCACGCCCACCCACGAGGCCCCTCCCCCGCTCCAAACCACGCCTTTCACTCCGAAAAGCCACGCCCCCTTTGAGACCCCGCCCCTCAGAAAAAGCCCCGCCCCTCTCCTCCGGCGCGGTCGCAGCCGGGGCGGCCCCGCGGGGACCCGGGTTCGAGTCCGGGCCGGGCCGGGGGCGGCACCGGGGGGGTCCCGGCGGGGGTGGCGGGGCCGGGCCGGGGGCGGCGGCCCCGCGGGGGCGGGGGGCGATGGCGGGGCCGGCGGCGGCGCTGCTCGTGGCCGTGCTGGGCGCGGGGGCCGCGGGGCTCAGCCTGGAGCCGGTGGTCTGGCACACCGGGAACCGGCGGTGAGAGCGGCGGCAACGGGGGCGGGGGGCGGCGGTTGGGGGCTCCGGGGGATTGGGGGCACCGGGGGGATTGAGGGGTCCGGGGGGATTGAGGGGTTTGGGGGGGACCGGGGGATTGAGGGGTTTGGGGGGCACCGGGGAAATTGAGGGGATTGGGGGGCACCAGGGGGAATGAGGGGTTCGGGAGTTCCGGGGGTAATTGGGGGGCACCGGGGAGATTGAGGGGGGTTGGGAGGCACTGGGGAATTGAGGGATTGGGGGGTCCAGGGGTAATTGAGGGTTTGTGGGGATTGAGGGCTCTGGGGGGGTCTTTAGGATATTGGGGGGGGGGTCTTGAGGGGATTTGGGGGTCCGAGGGGCTGGGGGGCACCAGGGGGGTCTTGGGGTACCGGGGCTCAGAGGGGATTTGGGGGCTCTGAGGGGATTTGGGGGCTCTGAGGGGATTGGAGGGGTCTGGGGGCTTTTGGGGTCCGAGGGCTTGGGGGGGGTCTTGAGGAACCTGGGGGCCTGTGGGGGTTGGGGATTTTGGGGGGGTCTGGGGGTGTCTTGAGGGATTTGGGGGCGTCAAGGGGGGATCAGGGGAGGCGGGGGGGCTTGAGAGGATTTGGGGGGGGCTTGAGGGGTCCTGGGGACCTGAAAAAGCCGGGAGGGAAAGGGGGGGAGGGGGGTCCCGGGGGTCTGTGGGGGGGGAGGGGGGTTGGGGGTCTCGTCACCCTCTCCAGGTGACCCCAAGAGATGGGGATGGGGACATGGGGGGTGACACTGGGGGGGACACAACGGGCTGTGGGTGACATCGTCTGTGTGACACCGTGAGTGACACCATGAGTGACACCTGGCGCTGTGACTGTGTGTGACACTGTGACTGTGTGTGACACCGTGACTGTGCATGACACTGTGACTGTGTGACACCGTGAGTGACACCGTGAGTGACACCTGGCGCTGTGACTGTGACATTGTGACACCGTGAGTGACACCTGGCGCTGCGGCTGTGTGTGACACTGTGACTGTGTGTGACACCAAGTGTGACAACTTGAGCGTGGGCAGCGTGAGTGACACTGTGACACCGTGGCTGTCACCGTGACCACGTGTGTGACACGGTGCGACGAGGACACCGCGTGCCAGCGCGGGTGTCGCCACATCTGTCACACTGAGCAGGTGTGGCACTGTCACAGGGGGGTGACACCCGGCACAGGGGGTGACACCGGCACAGCGAGGTGACACCGGGTGCCACTCCATGTGTGTGACACGGTGACAGTGACACAGTGACAGTGACACGGTGACGGTGACAGCCCCAGCCCCCCCTCTGTCCCCCCCTCGGGTGCCCCCAGCCCTGGGTCCCCCCTGCTGTGTCCCCTCCCCCCCCAGGCCCCCACGGAGCAGGTGGGGGAGGGGCAGCGGCGCCATTGCCATGGTGACAACAATGGCTGCCCCACCCCCCCCAGCGCTGTGGGGGCGCCTGACGGGGGCGTCACCGTGTCCCCATGCCCGGGGTGTCACCGTGTCCCCACACCTGACAGGGTGTCACCGTGTCCCCATGCCCGGCAGTGTCACCGTGTCCCCACGCCCGACAGTGTCACCGTGTCCCCATGCCCGGTGTTTTCACCCTCCTGTGGTGTCACATGGTGTCACCCTCAGGGTGGCAGTGTCACGCCTGTCACTGTGTCACACATGCAGTGTGTCATCTGGTGTCACCTCTGCTGTGTCACCCTGACCGTGATGGTGTCGCACGCAAGTGTCACACGCACGGAATGTCACACACACAGTGTCACACAGAGTGTCACGGTGTCACACACATACACAGAGAATGTCACACAGAGTGTCACGGTGTCACACACATACACAGAGAATGTCATGGTGTCACACACACACAGAGTGTCACAGTGTCACACATTGTCCCCATGTACCCCCAGGTTCCTGGACGCCGGCGGTTACGTGCTGTACCCTCAGTGTCACACACAGTGTCACACACAGAATGTCACAGTGTCACATTGTCACAGTGTCACACTCAGTGTCACATTGTCCCCATGTCCCCCCAGGTTCCTTGACGCCGGCGGTTACGTGCTGTACCCTCAGTGTCACACACACACACACAGTGTCACAGTGTCACACACAGTGTCACACACACACACACACAGTGTCACATTGTCACAGTGTCACACAGGATGTCACACACATTGTCCCCATGTCCCCCCAGGTTCCTGGACGCCGGCGGTTACGTGCTGTACCCTCAGTGTCACACACAGTGTCACAGTGTCACACACAGTGTCACACTCAGTGTCACATTGTCCCCCCCAGGTTCCTGGACGCCGGTGGTTACGTGCTGTACCCTCAGTGTCACACACGCACACAGTGTCACAGTGTCACACACATTGTCACAGTGTCACACAGGATGTCACACTCAGTGTCACATTGTCCCCCCAGGTTCCTGGACGCCGGTGGTTACGTGCTGTACCCTCAGTGTCACACACACACACACAGTGTCACACACACAGTGTCACACCCAGTGTCACATTGTCCCCCCAGGTTCCTGGACGCCGGCGGTTATGTGCTGTACCCTCAGTGTCACACACACAGTGTCACAGTGTCACACCCAGTGTCACACCCCAGTGTCACATTGTCACAGTGTCACAGTGTCACACACATTGTCACATTGTCCCCCCAGGTTCCTGGACGCCGGCGGTTACGTGCTGTACCCTCAGATCGGCGACCGCCTGGACCTGGTGTGCCCGGGGGGGGCGGGGTACGAGTACTACAAGCTGTACCTGGTGGGCGGGGCGCAGGCGCGGCGCTGCCAGGTGCAGGCCCCGCCCCCCGGCCCCGCCCCCGCGCTGCTGCTCACCTGCGACCGCCCCCAGCGCGACGTTCGCTTCACCATCAAATTCCAGGAGTTCAGCCCCAACCTCTGGGGACACGAGTTCCGCCGGCAGCACGACTATTACATCATCAGTGAGCTGTGACGTCATCGGCGGGGGCGGGGCAGGGGGCGATGGCGCTGTGGGAGGGTGATGTCATCGCTGGGGGGTGGTGATGTCATCGCTGGGGTGTTGTGATGTCATTGGGGAAGGGGTGGAGGGGTTGGGTTGTGTTCAGGGTGTGCTGGTGATGTCATCAGGATGGTGATGTCATAGCGAGGGGTGGTGATGTCATCGGGGAGGGGGTGATGTCATTGGGGAAGGGGTGGAGGGGAGGGGGGTGTGGAGTTGTGTTTGGGAGGGGCTTTGGGGAGGGTTTTGGGGCTCTTTCGCCCTCTGGGAGGTGCTGGTGATGTCATCAGGGTGTGATGTCATCAGGGGTGTGATGTCATCAGGGTGTGATGTCATTGGTCTGTGACATCATCAGAGGGGACTGGCATCGATGGCGTGAAGCTGACAGCGTTAGGGCAAGGATGATGTCACGATGATGTCATCGCTATCCCCGTGATATTATCAGCATGTGATGCTGTGACATCACTGGGGGCGATGACGTCACAGGATGCGACATCCCCAGAACGCGCGATGACATCAAGGGGAGATGGGGTAGTGACCAGGCTCTGACATCACTGGGGGGATTATGACGAGTATGATGACGTCACCGATGACGTCATCGTGCCCCTCCCCCATCCTTTGCAGCCACGTCGGACGGGACCCCCGAGGGGCTGGAGAACCGGCAGGGCGGGGCCTGCCTGACGCGGGCCATGCGCGTCACCCTGCGCGTGGGGCAGCGTGAGTGCCCGCCCCCACCCCGCCCCTCCCCCGCCCTGCCCCTCCCCCCTCTCACCCTCCCTCCCCTCCCCCACAGGCCCCGGGGCGGAGCCGCCGCCGGACCCGGCCGGGACAGGTAAAGGTGTGGGGTAAGGGGAGGGGCTTTGCCCACCTGAAGCCCCGCCCCTGACTCCTCCCCCTTTCCCCCAGGTTCAGCCAATCAGACGAGCCCGCCCGGGCCGGGCCCGCCCCCCGCGCGGGAGGGGGCGGTGCTGGGGGCGGCGGGGGGAGGGGCGGCGCTGCTGGCGCTGCTGGGGGGGGCGGGGGGGGCGCTCTGGTGGCGGCGCCGCCCCGGAGACCCCAAAAAACCCCGCGGGGAGGGGCGGGGCCGGCGAGGCCACGCCCCACGGACCGGGCCCCGCCCACCCCCTGCGCGAGCTGCCCCTCCCCCTGCAGCCCCGCCCCCCACCTATTACAAGGTGTGAGGGGGTGGGGGAGGGGCGGGAGTCCAAAGGTGGGGAGACCCCGCCCACAAAGGTGGAAGGACACGCCCCGCCCTGAAGCTCCGCCCCTTTGGGGCATAGAGGAATGAAGGACCCAAAAAGGGAAGATTTGCCCCAAAATGAACCCACAGGTGTGGGGAGGTGGGGCTTAACCAGGAGGCGTGGCCTGAACGGGGCGTGGCCACCACAGTTCGTGGCCTAATTTACATATGGTGCTACCCAGGGGCGTGGTCATCCAAATATGGGCGTGGTTTCAACTGGGGAGGCGGAGCTTTAGCGGCTTTGAGGCGTCACCCCAGGAAATGGGCGGGGCTTGGTGATGCCACCCTCCCATTGGCCACAATTAAGCCCCGCCCACACACATGGGTGGGATCACTTAGGCCACACCCCCATGGCAAAAGGGGGCGGGGCTTTCCCATTGCAGACACCAAGAGGATGACCAGGAAGTGACGTCACAGAGATGAAGAGGCGGGGCTTCCTGTGTGACATCACACGGGGGGGGGGGCGTGGCCTGACCGCGCGCCCCGCTGCTGATTAGACAATTTTGTGCAATTGGCTCGCCCCCTTCCTGTCAATTAAATGGGGTGGGCGGGGCTTGGTGAGGTTTTGGCGCCCCCTGGTGGTGGGGGATGGGCTGGAGGGGCGGGGTCACTGGGTGGGGGGCGTGTCCCACCCGTCTGATGTCACCTTTGGCACTTGAGGCCCCAAATCTTCATTTTTTTCCCCCCTAAACCCAAAATTTCCCTCTCCAGCCTCATAATTTTGGGTCTAAATCCCTCAGTTTTGGGGACAAAAAAAGCCAATTTTTGTCCAAACATCGTCTTCCACCCAAATTCTCATTTTTAGAGAAAAAAGATCATTTTTAGCGCCAAAACCCTCACTTTTAACAACCCAAACCTTCAGTTTTAAGCTCTAATCCCTCATTTCATTCCCCAAAATTAATTTTAAAATGTTAAATCCCCATTTTTGACCTAAATCCCCAGATTCTTGAATACAAAACATCTTCAAAGGTCCAAACTTCATTTTTACATTTAAAACATTTTTTTCTGGGCCAAATTCTTAAATTTTTTAAGGTTAAACCTGAGTTTTTAGTGTTCCAAACCTCGTTTTGGGGTTCCAAACCCACATTTTAGGCCTAAAAAACATTAATTTAAGGTCCAAAGCTGCATTTCCCCTCATTTTTGAGGCCAAAACCCAATTTTTATAAGTGAACCTCCAATTTTAGGGTTTAAACCCTTCTCTTGGGCATAAAAATCGAATTTTGTGCTCCCAAATGCTTCAATTTAGAGCCTAAATTCTTCATTTATGGATCCAAAATTCCACTTTTGGAACCAAACAATCATTTTTAGGGTGGAAATCCACACCTTCAGGGTTCAGGCCCAAATTTTAGGGCCAAATGCTTCATTTTGAGGATTTCCAGGAGGGTTTTAAAGAAATTTTTGGTAATTTCAATGTCTCAAACCCCATTTTTTTGTGCCAAAAATCTCATTTCAGGGTCCAAATTCTCATTCTTGGGCCCAAGTTCTCAAGTTTCGGGTCCAATCCCCTTCTTAAAGTTAAAACCGCACATTTCACACCCTATTTTAAGGACAAAATCCTCATTTTTGGGCCAAAGCTGTGGTTTTGGGGTGCAAATCTTCATTTAAATGCCGATTCCTGCTTTTTTTAGGAGTAGAAAGCGTCATTTTTAGATCCTTATCCCACGTTTTTAGGACCAAACACCTTTTTGGGACCAAATACCTCTTTTTTGGGGACCCACCCACCCCCATTTTGGGTGGACAAAATGATCAATTACAAGGCCAAACCTCCTGGTTTTGGAGCAAAAATCTCATTTTTTGGTGTCTAAATCCCATTTATAGCCCCAAAATTTCGTATTTATGAGCACACGCGTCAATTTTAGTTTAAAATCTTTCACTTCGACCCCAAATTCGGCTTTTTCAGGGCCCTTTGCGGTCTCCAGCCCGAATTTTTGGGTCATTTTAATCAATTTTTGGGTCCAAATTTCCCTTTCCAAGGCCTCCACCGCCGCCCCCCCCTCAGCTCCCGCTGTTGCCATGGCAACGGGCCCGGCGCGCCCTGTCGTGACGTCACGGCGGCGCCGGCCAATCAGAGCGCGGCTCGGCCGTTGTTGCTGGGGGGCGGGCAGGGGTCACGTGACCCCCGAGAAGGGGGGGGTGTCCGGGGGTCCTCGTGCAAGGGTCACGTGACGCCCCGGGCAAATCCCGAATTTCCCCCAAAAATCCCGAATTTCCCCATTTAAATCCGAATTTCCCCCCAAAAATCCCGAATTTCCCCATTTAACCCCCACATTTCCCAATTAAACCCCAAATTTTCTCGTGCAAATGCGGAACTTCCCCGTGCGAATCCCGAATTTCCTCACCCAACCCCCAGATTCCTCATTCCTCAGATCCCGAATTTCCTCATCCAAATCCCAAATTTTCCCCACACAGATCCTAAATTTACCCATACAAATCCCAATTTTTCTCCATTTAAATCCCAAATTTCCTCACCCAATCACAAATTTTCCCACACAAGTCCCAAATTTACTCAAATCTCAAATGTCCTCATCCAACCCCCAAATTTCCCCATTTAACCCCCAGATTCGCGCGTTTAAATCCCGAATTTCCCACACAAATCCCCAAATTTCCCCATCCGAACCCAAATTTCCGTGTCCAAACCCCTCCCCCCACGGCGCCCCTCCCCCCTTGCCACACGCGCGTGCCAACCCCGCCCCTCCCCCTCCCCCGGGCACCGCGGGGTTAAACTCGGCCCCTCCCCCACCCCGCGCCCCTCCCCCACCCCGCCGGAGCCTCCCGGGGGCGGGGCGAGGCCGAGGGGAGGGCGGGGCCGCGCTCGGCCAAAGGCCACGCCCCCATTGGGCACGTGCGGTCCCGCGCGCTGCCCGAGGGGAGGGGGGAGCGCGGGGCGGGGCTTGGCGGAGCTGCCGCGCGCTGATTGGTCGGCGTTGGGAAGGCGGTTCTGTCATTGGCTGGAGCGCGGTGTCCCCAGGGTGGCCCCGCCCCTGGCCGTGCCAGGGCGCCCCCTGCTGGTCTCAGTGCGATTCCGGTCCCAGTGCCAGCTTATACTGGTCCCAGTGCCTCCCAGTCCCAGTGTGGCTCTGTACTGAGCCCAGTGCCAGCTTATACTGGTCCCAGTGCCTCCCAGTCCCAGTGTCGCTCTGTACTGAGCCCAGTGCCAGCTTATACTGGTCCCAGTGCCTCCCAGTCCCAGTGTCGCTCTGTACTGGTCCCAGTGCCAGCTTATACTGG